GATATCTGTTATTTTTTCTTCTGTAAGGCTTGAGTCCAGGATCTCAGGTATGGGGTCCAGCACTGAGCCTATTCCAGCCTTACAATCCATTAACTATAGTTAGACTCTGGTACATCAGCAGCATTTGTGCCTCAAACTACTCTTGGACTGGGAAATGTCCATTTTTCCTGCTCTCCAGCCTTTAGTACCCCACTCTACTTGAGTTCTGTGACCTTTTTAGACTGTTGATGTGAGAGTGCATGATTGGTGTTTGTGTCTGCTTTATCATCATTTGATGTCTTCTAGACATTAAGTTCTAAGTGATGATTGCCCTGGCTAAGGCTGAGTAGTATTTTGTTGTGGATGCACATGACAATTCAAGGGGCACTGTACTTGCTGTATTTCAGCTATTTTAATGGGCACTGTAGTTGCCATATTTTTCAGCAATTACAGAGTGGCAAAGAACATGGAGCTGTGACATTCTGATTTCAATCCCTGAGGATGTGTTCCCGCAAGTGTTATTGCTGGCTTCTGTGGGACCTCCAACCTTTAGGTTTTTGAGGAACTTAAGTACTGTTCCATAATGACTATTTCTGCAGTACTAGGATTCCTTTTTGTATTTGGTGGTAGTCTAATGACTGTGAGGTGATTTGGTACCATTCCTGGTTTGGACACTGTTCCTGAGCTTTTCTGTGCAAAATTAGTAGTCTATCACTTGAGCCACAGCTGCACTGCTGGCTGTGTGTGTGTGTATATGTGTGTGTGTGAGAGAGAGAGTGTTAAGGTCTGGGTGCTGTCTGAGCTTTCTCCCACAAGGCTAGTGCTCTACCACTTTGAGCCATAGCACCATTTCTGGTTGTCTGGTAGTTGGAGATAAGAGTCTCACAGACTTTCCCACTCAGGCTGTCTTTGAACTGTGATCCTCGGATCTCAGCCTCCTGAGTAGCTAGGATTACAGCCCTGAACCACCGGCACCTGGATTAAAGCCTCTTTAATCTTTGTAAAACTGTTGATTTTAGACTGAAGAATTTTCACAATTTGCATGGTTTTACCTCCCTCTGCATGTAGTCCAGGGGCTCACATAGAAACAGTATAGCCTAATGCTTCTTGCTAGCAGATTTAACCATAGGATGGTTGTGGGGTGGAGGAGGGCAGCTTAGCACTTGGGGCTTTTGGAGACAGTTGAATTAAAAATCTCTAGTATTAGGTAGGAACTGAGCGGTCAGTTGTGAACAGGAGTTTGCACGTAGAGATGGTGCCCCCTGCTGGTGGGTAGGATTGTGGTGTTAGCTCTCTGTGTGGGGCAGAAGGGTGTTGTTAAGTGGGAAACATTTGAGGACCCCAAGGTTGGAGGGAGCTCTGGCTATTGGGTGAAAGATTTGGATGTGCAGTGCCAACCTGCTTGTGCCATGGTGGGGGGCAAAGCTTTAAAGCAGGGTACAAGGGTTGTGGTGGAGGGCATGAGAGCCAACTTTGAAGGAAACAGTCTTCCAGGTGGCATCCTGTGTTACACGCCTCACCGAGGGGTGGCAGTGTTGCACACTTGGAGGTGGTACAGCTGTCTAGAACTAAGGGACCAGCATATGTGCTGAGAATGAGGACTGGGTAAGTAATAGCATTGCTGGGAGAGATGTGTGAGGAGTTTCAGTTTCTAATTCTCAGGCTCTTGGAGGTACACTAGAATACAGGGAAGGCCAAGGAGGCCTTTACAGGCTAGATCCAAGTCTGGAGAGAGCTGGGGTGTTAGAAGATGATTGTGGGCTCCAGGCCCCAGGATCCTTTAGGCTGCTAGGCCTCCTTGGTACCTGCTGGTTGATTAATAAACCTCCCTCCCCTACTCCAGGTCTGCAAGAGTTAGGTACAAAGTGTATTTAGAAGATAGCCTCAGGGCCAGGCACTGGTGGCTCACGCCTGTCATCCTAGCTACTCAGGAGGCTTAGATCTGAGGATCATGGTTCAAAGCAGCCCTGGTAGGAAAGTCTGTGAGACTCTTTTTTTTTTTTTTTTGGGTCCGGTCGTGGGGCCTGAACTCTGGGCCTGAGCGCTGTCCCTCAGCTCTTCAGCTCAGGGCTAGCACTCTACCACTTGAGCCACAGCACCACTCCCGGCTTTTTTTCTTTTTGCTTATGTGGTGCTGAGGAATTGAACCCAGGGCCTCAGGCATGCAAGGCAAGCGCTCTACCACTGAGCCACCTTCCCAGCCCCAGTCTGTGAGACTCTTATCACCAATTAACCACCAGAAAATGAAGTGGCAAAGCCGGGCACTGGAGGTTCACGCCTGTAATCCTAGCTATTCAGGAGGCTGAGATCTGAGGATCACAGTTCAAAGCCAACCAGGGCAGGAAAGTCCATGAGACTCTTATCTGCAATAAACCACTAGAAAACCAGAAGTGGCGCTGTGACTCAAGCGGTAGAACTCTCACCTTGAGCTGAAGAGCTTAGGGACAGTGCCCAGGCCCAGAGTTCCAAGTCCCTCCACTGACAAAAGAAAAAAAAAAAAAGCTTCAGGGTCATGAGTCTCTTAAACAGCCTCTGGTGAGGCTTCTTAATAGTTCCCCAGAAAACTACTCATACTTTTTTTTTTTTTTGTCTCGTCTTTCCTGTCTGCACTGGCTTTGAACAATGATCCTCAGATGTCAGTCTCCTGAGTAGGATTGCAGGCATGAGCCACCAGTGCCCAGCTCATACTTGCTTTTGTAGACAGTAGTTCAGAGAAATTGGAGGTGTGTGTGGTTTAAGTAGGAGAGTACTTGTAAGAACCAATCTGAGTTCAAGCTCCAGTTCTGCAATAGGAAACAAACATACACAGCGAAAAATAGCATATTAAGATAAACAGCTACCAAAAGTTTTGGTTAGCATATTCTATGGACAAAAATGTAACCTATAGAAATCCATTCTTCCAGGAATGAGATGGGCCAGAGAAAGGAGCATCGCAGACTTAAGAGTGCCAGTCTAGAAGGAACCTCTGAATTATACTTGGTGGATTATGCTCATGTCCTGAGCTCAGAGGGTGCTGTCATGTCTCTTTCCTGGAAAAATGGCTGTCATTTAGCGATTTTTTTTTCTCTATGGAGAAATGAGAGGATTAGAGGAGCTAAGTGGCTTAGACAAACCCAAATCAAAATACTAGATCTTGATTTCATAAAGTTTTAGACATAGGCTTATTTAAAGTAGTAGAACAAGTTGATACATTCAGCATATTGCTCTTATTTTACAAGTGCAGTTACATAGTGCTTTCACGTGGCCACTGTTTTAGCTACCGGGGCCAGAGGGCTGTTTTGTATAATCTCAAGAAGGGTAAGCCCATTGGGAAGAGCTGCTAAATGGTGGTCCTCAAACCATTTGGGGAGCCTGATGCCCTAGGACCTAGAACCCCTCCAACCCCTGTGTGTACCTCTGTTTTTGTGTTGGGGATGGAACCCTGGACTTTGGGCCTGCCAAGTGTGTGCTTTACCTTTGAGCCACACTCCAGCCTGCTGCTGCATCTGCCAATGTAGCTTCTAACTCATCCGTGGACAGGCAAGAGGGTAGGAAACACACACAAATACATGTCATTTTTTTCTCATATATTACGTATCAAAGTCAAGAGCTGGGATGTTCTGTGTAGCTGCCAGTAGTTGAATGTGGCTCGGTGCTGGAGAGAGAGGGGAGGCCTCAGTGTTTCTCCAGATCGTCCACCAGGTAGGGCTGGATGTCCCTCAAGGCCTGGAGGAACAGCTCCTTGCACTTGAGATCCCAGGCTGGCATGAAGCTGTAGAGTTTCCTCATCTTGGTGGGGTTGGTGGTCTCTGCCCGCACCGCCTGGTACTGCTCCTCCGTCAACACCTTGTCATCAAACAGGGCGTCCAGCAGCCCGTCCACATCTGTCACGCGGGAGATGAGCGCCCTGCGGTGCTGATCCACGAAGTGGAGTCTTGAGGGTTCTGGGGTGGGGTGGGGGTGGGAGGGAAAGGGGTGAGGCCTGGTCTTGCCGTGTACTGCTTCAGCAAGTGCAGCTATAAAGCTGGGGGGGGGCTCAGGGCAGAGGTGTCCTCCCTCCTCCCCCTTCCCCCAGGCGTCCAGGGAGTGATGATGAAGGGTGAAAGGGGGGAGGGAGGGGGCGAGGTGTGTGTGTGGGGGGCAGCAACAGGCCATGCAGGGGTGAAGTGGGAGGGAGGGACCCCTGTGGGTGAGATTGGGCATGGAACCTCACCAGGCGTGGCTGCCATCTGAAGAGAGGCCTTGAGTGCAGCTGGCTGTGCACTGGGTGCTGTGAAGAGAAATGGGGTGGGTGGCCCTGTTTTACTGCCTGCGCCCCGCCCCCCCCTCGCTGAGGGTGGATCGCAAGGCGCCCCCCCTCCCCCCAGCTCGGATGGGAAGGAGGCCGGGCCCGGGACGGGGTGGGGTGGGGGCGCGCGGCTCACCCCGGAGCCGGTCCCCCAGCTGCTCCGCCAGCGCCTGCATGCCCATCTCCCGGAGCACCGTGGCCGTGAGCTCGGGGCCGTAGGAGTCCATGTAGTAGCTGACGAGCTTGTCGGTGAGGTCTATGGCGTCCATGGACTGCAGCGGCCCGCGCGGGATGCGCCCGAAGCCGGGGCGCAGCGGCACCGACAGCAGCTTCAGCTTGAATCTCTTCAGCTCCTCGGCCGTCAGGTTCTCCAGGGCGTCCAGGATGGCGTCGCGCGCCGACCCCATGGCTCACCCCGGCTGCTGCTGCCTTCCGCCCGGCCGCCCCACCAGGAAGTCTGCCCGCCTCCTCGTCCAAGGGCGGACTTGGGGCTCCCCTCCCTTCCGCACCCCCATCCCCGTCTCCGCCCTCCCCTGAGTCTGAGCCACACGGGGTGTGGGGAGGGTTTTGTTTTTTTTTCCCCTGCAGGGCTGGGAGTTGGGGCTCCTGGGTGGCACCTGTGGCTCTGCGCGGAGCCTGCTGGAATCCTGGAGTTCTAGATCCTCCCATCCCCGGGGCCCTCGAGTCCTCTCGCAGGGCCTGTGGGATCTTTTAGCAGCTGGAATCAAATTGCACACGCTGGTGAGAAATACAGTGTAACAAAAAAGTGGGTAGAGCCTGGTGCTGGTGGCTCACACCTGTCATCCTAGCTACCCAGGAGGCTGAGATCTGAGGATCATGGTTCAAAGCCATCCTGGGCAGGAAAGTCCATGAGACTCTTATCTCCAATGAAACACCAGAAAACAGGAAGTGGTGCTGTGGCTCAAGTGGTAGAACACTGGCCTTGAGCTGAAGAATTGAAGGATAGTGCCCAGGCCCAGAGTTCAAGCACACACACACACACACACAAACTAGAAAGATGAGCCATCCATACAAACTCTTAAGAGAGCTTCAGCTGGGTACCCCTGGCACGCCTGTAATGCTCACTACTCAGAGGAGGCTGAGATTTGAGGATCCCAGTGCAAAACCAGCCAGAGCAGAAAAGTCCATGAAACTCTTAGTTCCAATTAACCATCAAAAAGCCAGAAGTGGAGCTGTGACTCAAGTGATACAGTGCTTTCCTTGAGCAAAAGAGCTCAGGGACAGCACCCAGGCCTGGAGTCCAAGCTTGAGCTCTGGCACAGAAGAAGAAATGGAACACATAGGAAAAGGAAAAAAGGGAGTTGGAGAAGGACCAATACATTCAGATTTGACCCACAGGCCTTAGGTGGTTTCTCTTTTGAGTCCCTTCTTTCTGGATAAGGTGCTCAGAGCTCTAAGCACCTTTGACTTGTAACAGAAAAAAAACTTCCAGATCTGAGCCCAGACTCACCCTTGCCCCCTGGATGAGAGCCAGCTAGCAGGTGCAGTTAAGGTGAGGCCTCCTGGGTTTGGAGGCCCCCCCCCCCCCCCCCCCCCCCAGCCACTCAGGCAAAGTAACTCTGATTGCTGGAGCAAGATTGCTATTCTTTTTTAATTTTTTTTTTTTTGGGTCTGGTCGTGGGGCCTGAACTCTGGGCCTGGGCACTGTCCCTCAGCTCTTCAGCTCAAGGCTAGCGCTCTACCACTGGAGCCACAGCACCACTTCTGGTGTTTTTCTTTTTGCTTATGTGGTGCTGAGGAATTGAACCCAGGGCCTCAGGCATGCAAGGCAAGTGCTCTACCACTGAGCCACCTTCCCAGCCCAAGATTGCTATTCTTGAGTCAAGAAGACCCACAAATTACAGGACATAGGGCAAGTTAGTTAGCCTTTCTGTGCTTCAGGGCGTCTCTTTAAGATAAGAGAAGTGACAAGATGGATATAAAGCTTCAATAAGTTACAAATTGCAGGGCTGGGAATGTGGCTCAGTGGTAGAGTGCTTGCCCAGCAAGCATGAAGCCCTAGGTTCCATTCCTCAATACCATGTAAACAGACAAAAGCCAGAAATGGCGCTGTGGCTCAAGTGGTAGAGTGCTAGCCTTGAGCAAAAGAAGCTCAGACCTGGAGCTCAAGGACTGGCAAAAATAAACAAATAAATAAATAAAAATTGCAAAGTGCTTGGAACAGGCCTGGTACATAAAAGTCTCCAAACCTCCGTTTTCCAATCTGTGAAGTAGGTGTGTTTGTTATTGACCTTGTGTGGTTATAGGGAGAATTCATAGGCACAATTAAAAATACGAATTCTACGATATCAATAGCATAACAGGTATTGAAAATTTTTTGTGTGGTTGGCACTGTTCTAAAAACTTGTAGGGACACATACCTGTAATGCCAGCACTGGTGAGGCTGAGGTAGGAGGATTGAGGGAGTGAGAATCAGTGAGATATTATCTCAAACAAACAACAAAAACAGCATCATCGTGTGGAATCCTCATCCTCACCCAATTGTCTTGGTAATCCTAACACAAGTCCCATGATTAAGTTAATGAAAAAATCAGGGTAAGTGACTTGCCTCAGTTTACAGAACAAGGAAATTGGCAGAGTCAGGATTTGAAAAGTCCTTGGTTGCCAGGACATTATTTTTTTATGATTATTTTTATCTCTGGATTGTAACTGCAGATGAAAAGTTCAACTTTCTCAGGGGATTTAGCTTGAGCTTGAGACCTTGGCATTGGACAGGATCTGATTCCCACACAGTTCTGCCTGGGGTGGGGGTGGGGTGTTCTGGCTTCTCTAAGGGAGTGTTCTCTCTCTCCTCTCTTTCTTTCCCTTTCTCCCTCTCTCCCTCCTTCCCTCCCTCTCTGCCTCCCTTCCTTCTTTCCTTCCTTCCTTCCTTCTTTCTTTTTCTTTCTTTCTGCTAGTACTGGGGCTTGAACTCAGGGCCTGGGTACTGCCCCTTAGCTTTTTCACTCAAGTGGCACTCTACCACTTGAACCACACCTCCCTTGTTAGCTTTACACTAGCTTCTGAAATAGCCTGGCTTACAAGTGTGAGCCACTTGGCTGTGTTTTTATCTGTAATAAATTACCTATTACAAGATTAGTTGGGAAGTGGTGCTGTGGCTCAAAGTGATAGAGTGATAGCCTTGAGCAAAAAGAACTCAGGGACAGTGCCCAGGCTGTGAATTCAAACCCCATGATGAGCTGTAGCTAGGTGTGGTGGCGTACACCTGTAACCACAGAACTTGCAAGGTGGAATCAGGAGCATCATGAGCCCAGCCTGAGCTACAGAGTGAGACTCTCAAAAACAAAACAAAATGCAAAGAATTGCAAAAACAAAGCAAAATTAATTGCGAGTGCTTTTGATTTTTTTCTTTTTTTGGTTAGTCATGGGGCTTGAACTCTGGGGCTGGGCACTATCCCTCAATTCTTCAGCTCAAGGCAAGTGCTCTACCACTTGAGCCACAGCACCACTTCCAGTTTTCTGGTGGTTTATTGGAGATAAGAGTCTCACAGGCTTTCCTGCCCAGGCTGGCTTAGAATAGCAATCCTCAGATCTCAGCCTTCTGGGTAGCTAGGATGACAGGTGTGAGCCACTGGCGCCTGGTGCTTTTGATTTTTAGAACTGAATGAAAGAAAATGGTCTTCTATCTTGAACTCAAAGAAACAGGGAGTTTGGAAAAGCCACATTGAAAAAAATGACTTGAGCAGCATGCTGGTGACTCATGCCTGTAATCCTAGCCACTCAGGAGGTTGAGAACTGAGGATTGTGATTCAAAGCCAGCTTGGGCAGGAAAGTCCATGAGACTACCAAAAAGCTAGAAATGGTGCTGTGGCTTAAAGTGCTAGAGTGCAGGCCCTGAGCTTCAGGCCCTAAATTCAAGCCCCAGGATGGGCACAAAAAAAGAGAAAAGAACTTGAGTTTGAATCAGAGGGATAGGGGAGAGAGCCAGGCACTTTCTGGGGTTGAAAGAACATTTCAGAAGGGATGGCAAGTGCAAAGTCCCCGGGGAACAAGGACAAGAGGAGGAACACATGATACCAACCAACAGGTCCAGACTGGGTAGAGTTTTGTAGGCCTCAAGACTGTGTGTGTGTGTATGTGTGCGCGCCTTTCATTCAGCCTTTTCTGCTCAAGGCAGATGCTCTACCATTTGAGCCACAGCAGCTCCATTTAGATCTTTTGGGGGGATGAACTGGATTGGGGGGGATGAATTGGATTTCTCTTCCCAGGCTGGCTTTGAACCACAATCCTCAGATCCTAGCCTTCTGAGTAGCTGGAATTACAGGCCTGAGTGAGCCACTAGTGTTCTGCTGTCAGTGGAATATAATGAGCTATAAGCTTGAGAAACAGCTGGTGACAAGCGAGGAAGAAGGAAAGAAGCCTGAGTGTGGATGGAGATGGGCAGTAGGGAAGGAAGAAAAGACCTGGCTTCATGTTTCTGTGTCTTGTGTGTGTGTCTCCTCCTGGCTCTTCGCTCTGGCTCCAGCTGGCCCGCAGGAGGGATCAGTAGTAGATAGACCAGAGCAGGTGGCCCTGATGTGAGATGCCTATGGGCTGACTGTCCAGCCTTTACTTTTAGAACAGTTTCCAGAAGTGATGGGAGGGGATAGGCCAGAGACTAAATATAGTTCCTGGAGCCACACGCAGTCTGGGAGGGTCTGTCACTGCCCTGTCTACTGCCAGATCCCCTGGAGGCCCTGTCCTTGCTGTGAGCCTGCTATTTGCCCCTCACTTGTCTTTGACAAACCTCTGAGCCCCTTATTTAGGCCTGGTCTGGTTCTCTGGTCCAGTTTTGCCTTTTTATTATTATTATTTTTTGATTTTTGGAAGTTACTCTTGGCCAATCATCTCTATCCAGACCGGTGAGTCCTGTGGGCCTGAAAGGGTGGGGGAGAAGGAACAGAGAAAGCAGCTAAATGGAGGGCGAGGGTTGAGACCAAAGCCTGGATCAGGAGGCTGCAGCTTGGATAGAGGGCAGGAATAGAATTCAGGCTTATATTTAGGGTTGAAGAGGACATGGACTTGGGGGTGTCTGTGGCCCAAGCTAGAATCGATTTCAGCCTTCTAGGCCCCGCTCCTCCCCGCCGGGCCTCTGGTCCAGCCTGGGGGATGTCTGCCCCTGGGCCTCCCTGACCCCGATTCCTCCTCTCCCCCTTCCCTGCCCCAGGTTCGCCATGTTGGCTGCGGCTGCCCCGGGCCTCCTGCGCCAGGAGCTGTCCTGCCCGCTGTGTCTGCAGTTGTTTGAGGCGCCGGTGACGGCCGAGTGCGGCCACAGCTTCTGCCGCGCCTGCCTGGGCCGCGCGGGAGGGGAGCCCGCGGCCGACGGCTCGGTGCCCTGCCCCAGCTGCCAGGCGCCCACGCGGCCGCAGGCGCTGAGCACCAACCAGCAGCTGGCGCGCCTGGTGGAGGGGCTGGCGCAGGTGCCGCAGGGCCTCTGCGAGGAGCACCGGGACCCGCTGAGCATCTACTGCGAGCAGGACCGCGCGCTGGTGTGCGGCGTCTGCGCCTCGCTCGGGGCGCACCGCGGCCACCGCCTGCTGCCGGCCGCCGAGGCCCACACGCGCCTCAAGGTGCGGGGAGGGGCGGGGCGGGGGTGGGTGGAGGTGGGACGACTCTGCTGGATGGATGGAGAGGTCCCGACCTTGCTTTGGATTCTTTTTTCTTTTTTTGTGCGGGTCCTGGGGCTGGAACAGCGCCTGGACTCAGTCCCGGAGCTTTTAGGTTAGAGCTCTACCACTTGAGCCACAGCGCCACTTCCGGCCTTTTTGCTGATTACCTGGAGATCAGTCTCTCATGGACTTTCCTGCCCGGGCTGGCTTCGAACCACGATCCTAGATCTCAGCTTCCTGAGTAGTTGGGATTTACGGGCGTGAGCCACCCGCGCCGCCGCGGCTTCTGCTTGGGATTCTGAGCTGCGGAGGGCGGAGCCTGACGTTACTATGGAGAAGTGGGCGGAGCCGGTGGAGGAGGCGGGACATGCGGTTGCTATGGAGAAGTGGGAGGGACAAGGCGCGAGGGGCGGAGCATGCGGTTGCTATGGAGGTGTGGGCGGGGCCTGGATCAGGGGTGGAGGCTGAGTAGGGCAAGGCGGGACCGGGCAGGAAAGTGAGCCAAGGCAGGAAAAACCCCCGCCTAGGCTGCGGCTAGAATTCTGCAAAGCGCCGTTTCCGCGACGGTCCCTCCAGCTTGCGTAGAGAGATTGGGGCGCAGTCTGATGAAAGTCGGGCTGATGCCAGCCGAGCTGGCTGAGCCACCGCCTGCAGTGCGATTGGGTAATCTGGGTGGTCCTGCCAGGCTGGCACATGAGGAAGCCGGGAACCCGGTCGTACTGCTGTGCCAGGCCAATTCACATGCACCAGTAAAGTTGCCAAGCTTGCATGAGCTTGACACCTGCGAATGGGTGTAACCCAAGGAGGGAAGCCAAGGCAAAAAGCATGCCTGGGCCTGATGTCACCGAGATCCAGTCAGGGCTGTATTCCTGGGCACCTCAATAGCCCAGGTTTGTGATCCTCAAGGGTACCCAACAAAAAGCACCGAGGCGTGGGCAAGTGGAGACACAGACACACGTTAGCCTGCAAGTCACACCCATGTGGGTATGGGCAGATATGCCTACTACTAGCCCAAGAAAGTCTGGACATTTATTGGGCTGTAGAAGATTAAGCGACAGATGCAGAGACAGGTGGAGGCAGGGTCTGGAGGCATGGAGTGCTCCTGGGTCCTCCTGGCCTTTCACCATCGCGGTGTGTACAGGTGGAGTTTTGTTGGCATTGTGTGTTCTAGCGGAGCTGGATCACTGGATCACTGTCCAGCTCAGTCCTGGATGGTGGTCAGTCTCCTAGCAAAGGGTGGCGGAGCCTCCAGGAAGCCCCAAGGATTGCTACCCCTTGTCCATCTTTAGCTGAGAGAGCAGAACTCATGAAATGGAACAGAATGTCAGCTAGCCCAATCCTCAAAACAGCTGGAAGTGGAGCTGTGGCTCAAGTGGTAGAACGCTAGCCTTGAGCACAAAAGCTCAGGGACAACACACAGGGGCTGAATTCAAGCCTTAGGACTGGCACAAAAGAGAAAGAATGTAGCCAGGTGCTGGTGGCTCAGACCTATAATCCTAGCTACCCAGGAGGCTGAGATCTGAGGATCATGGGTCAAAGCCAGCTTGGGCAGTGAAGTCCAAGAAGCTCTTATCTCCAGTTAACCCCCAGTAAACCAGAAGTGGCACTCTGGCTCAAAGTGGTAGAACAGTAGCCTGGAGCAATAAAAGCTCAGGGACGGAGCCCAGGCCCAAGCCTCATGACTGACAGAAAGAAAGAGAGAAAGAAAGAAAGAGAGAAAAGGAAGGCAATGTAATAAGTCTGTTCATAAGGCCCATGGTGTCTAGGGACTCAAGCTCTCCACACCCCCAGGGATGTGTTGGAAGCCCCCAGCTGCAGGTTGAATTTCTTTTCTTTTCTTTTCTTTTTGGTTGTGGGGCTTGAACTCAGGGCCTGGGCACTGTCCCTGAACTTCTTTTGCTCCAGGCTAGCACTCTACCACTTGACCCACAGCACCACTTCCAGCCTTTTCAGTGTATGTGGTACTGAGGGATTGAACCCAAGGCTTCATGCATGCTAGGCAAGCACTCTACCACTAAACCACATTCCCAGCCCTTGGCCCCTTATATAATAACTATTGACAATTGAACATTTCTTTATTGGTGTATATTAACTATTAGAAGGAGGATTTCACAAAGTCCCCTAATTATCCCTGTTACCTTTGCTCTGTCCCCTCCCTGCAGAGTCAGCTCCCTCAGCAGAAGCTGCAGCTGCAGGAGGCATGCATGCTCAAGGAGAAGAATGTGTCCGTGATGGAGCACCAGCTGGCAGAGGTGGAGGTGAGGACCAGCGTGGCTGAGCCTGGGAACTGGGGTCTGGGGTGGAGGAGCCCTAGAGGTAAGTACTTTTCCCATTGCTTGTCCCCATTGCCTTTCAGGAAACAGTGCGTCAGTTTCGGAAGTCTGTTGGGGAACAGCTGGGCAAGATGCGGGTGTTTCTGGCAGCCCTGGAGGATTCTTTGAACCATGAGGCAGAACAAGTTCGGGGAGATGCTGTTGTGGCCTTGAAGAGGGAGCTGTCTGCCTTGAAGTCTTACCTGGAGCAGCTGCGGCAGATGGAGAAGGTGCTGGAGGAGGTAGCTGACAAGCCACAGACAGAATTCCTCATGGTAAGGACTCCATGTCCTCCTGCTGCTACCCCTTGGCCATGGTTCAGACTCTAGAGGCCTTGTCCCTGAGGCCTGCAGAGGGCTAGGGAGGAGCCAGCATCTCATATCCAAGAGGTGGGCCTTGGGCTGTTATTTAGGTTGGACATTGCTTAAGAATATGAAAGCTTGCTGGGTGCTGGTGGTTTATGCCTGTAATCCTAGTTACTCAGGAGGCTGAGATCTGAGGATAGCAGTTTGAAGCTAGCCAGGGAAGGAAAGTCCTGAAGACTCTTATCTCCAATTAACCGCCAGAAAACTGGAAGTGGTGCTGAGGTTCAGCGTGGTAGAGTGCTAGCCTTGGGCACAAAGAAGCTCAGGGACAGCACCCAGGTCCTGAGTTCAAGCTCCATGATGGGGTAGGGGTGGAGGGTGGAGAGAAAGCTATTACTATTATAGGCTTATTTATTTATTTGTCAGTTTTGGGGCTGGAACTCAGGGCCTAGGCCTTTCTGTCCCTGAGCTATTTTTTTTTTTTTTTTTGCTTAAGGCTACCATTCTAACACTTTGAGCTCCACTTCCAGCTTTTTTGTGGTTTGTTAGAGATAAGAGTCTCACAGAATTCCCTGCCCTGGCTAGCTTTGAATTGGGATCCTCAGCTCTCAGCCTCCTGAGATGACAGGCTGGGATTACAGGCATGAGCCACAGTGCTCTGTGGGAACCCTTTTTCTAATTCACATAATGGTAAAGGACTAGAGAGGCCTTCATTCCTGGGTTTCTTTCTTTCTTCTTTTTTCTGGTTTGTTCTGCCCCTACCTTTGGCACTGTCATCCCTAGAAGTTCCTGGAGTCCTGCTTTATCTGCTTGCTTTATCTTTATTCTGTTTCTGTCTCTCTCCAGACTTACTGTTTGGTGACCAGCAGGTGAGATCATCTTGGATCCTTTGCCCAACTTGCTCCAGTCTTCTAAGACAAGGCCAGGATCTCCCTCCTCCTGCAGCGAGCCTTTGTACCCAAATGGGTTCTCTGATGTGGCTTTGCTGCCATTGAAACTGAGCTGGTCCTTAGACCCTGGGACTAAGGTGGTCAGACAGACATGGTGGATCAGGAGGGTCAAGGGTCAAGGTTCTGTGCTCAGTGCTGCTGGAGAGAGAAGGGAAGAGGTGGCTAAGAAGGCTTCTCAGAGGAGGGGGTCTTGTCACTGGATTCTGGAGAAATGGATGGGGATTATCTGGGAGAGCTGGGGCATGGGACAAAATGGCAGACTGAGGGTGTAGCAGTGCAGTGTGTGTTTGTGTGTGTGTGTGTGTGTGTGTTGGTACTGAGGTTTGAATTCAGGGCCTGGGTGCTGTTCCTTAGCTTTTTCACGGAAGGCTGGTGCTCCACCACTTAAACCACATGCCCATTTCTGGCTTTTTGGTGGTTAACTGGAGATAAGACTCTCATGGATTTTCCTGACTGGCTTCCAGCTACAGTCCTCAGATCTCAGCCTTCTGAGTAGCTAGGATAACGGGCATGAGCCACTTGTGCCTAGCTTGTATTTTGTTTTTTGAGATGAAGTCTCTTTAACTTTGATTGTGTTGCCCTCAACCTCTCAATTCTCTTGCCTCTGTATCTGGAGTAGCTCAGATTACAGACATGCACGACCACTCTAGGCATTTAAACATGTACACTATCTGTTCACTTACAGCAAATACAGCATCTCCATCCATCTTCAGAGCCCCCCCCCCACTATTCCCAAAGTAAAATCTAATGGAAAAGTTTTAAGCAAGAGTATGATTTAAGGGTGATCCTGGAGTCTCCCCTCCCCCTCATCAGACACCTCCTCCTCCCTTCTCCATCTCTAGGCTGCAGAAGATTCTGTCAGAGTCACCTCCACCTGCCCGTCTGGATATCCAGTTGCCTATTATCTCAGATGACTTCAAATTCCAGGTGTGGAAGAAGATGTTCCGGGCTCTGATGCCAGGTATGGGAGGGGCTGGCTCTGTGTGAGACTGGGGGGGCACAGGGGCCGGCCTCTCATCCCACTACAGAGGGCCATTGAAGGAGGTGCCCTTAGCCCTTGGCCTCCCTCTGGGTCCCCATTGCAGCCCTCGAGGTTGTCTCTTGGAGGTCAATCTTCACGAACAGATGGGGCCCTGGGGGGCAGTGAGTGATGAGATGGGGTGCTATGGGCCTCAAGGGAAGATTAAACCCTGATTGACCCATTGACTCCTTGTGTGACCCACTCAGGAGAGGAGACAGACACATGTCCTGTTTACTGGAGCAGGCCAGGCTGGGGGGCCGGGGAGGGAGAGGGGAGAGCTCTAGGCAGCACCGCCCCTGCCACAGCTGGAAAACATCCTGCACAGCTGGGCAACATGGGTGGGTAGTTTTCACTCTTCCCTCCTTCTTTCCTTCCTTCATTGGTCGTGGGGCCTGAACTGTGTGGGCGCTGTCCCTCAGCTCTTCAGCTCAAGGCGGGTGCTCTACCACTTGAGCCACAGCGCCACTTCCGGCTTTTTTGTGCTTATGTGGTGCTGAGGAATGGAACCCAGGGCCTCATGCATGCTTGGGCCTCAGGTGGGCCCAAGCCAGGAAGCTTGGGGGGCGGGGGGCGATGTCCCTGGACCCAGAGGTGTTTGGCCCGGGAGGCGCCTCATGGATGGACAGGGCAAGGCGGAGGGGCGATCGGGGGTGCCCAGCGGGCTCTCTCTCTCTCTCCCTCCCCGTCCCCCCTGAAGCCCTGGAGGAGCTGACTCTGGACCCCAGCTCTGCGCACCCCAGCCTGGTGGTGTCCCCGTCGGGCCGGCGCGTGCAGTGCGCGGAGCAGAAGGGGGCGGCGGCGGCGGCGGCGG